TTGTATTGAAGTGGTTAAAAGCACACAACTTGCTGGACCCCCCCCCCCGAAGCAACATAACTTTACTGAGGGCAGATCATGTCAGCCTAATCTGATTGAATTATTTTGACTACAGTCATGGCCCAAAATATTGGTACTCCTGCATTTCTGTAATGATAATGCATCCCACCACTTCGCCCAGATTACAAATGTTTAGATATTCTCATGTTTATTTCTTTTATTTGTGTTGGTATGATACAAAAACGTTTAGAAACAAAAAGCCAAATCTAACCCACATTCTAAGCAAAAACCCCAAAAATGGATTGGGACAACATTATTTGCACCTTCTTAAAATTGTAAGAAAATTGCATTTCCAAGTTTGTGGTGCTCCTGTAAATTGTAATTAAATATCATCTGTATCAGTTAACAGGCGCTAGCAATACAGAAACAATACCAGCAACCAGTTAAAATGGTGAAAAAATGACTCAACCTTTCTGTAGTGAGTCTGTGTGCCGCGATGGAGAAGAGAAAGAGCAGTAAAGAATTGTCTAGGAGGATTTGACGAAACAGAAATTGTGGAAAAGCATGGTCCAATCTCAAGGTTACAAGTCCATCTCCAGAGATCTTAATGTTCCTGTGTCCACTGTGCACAACATGTCAAGAAATTTACAGCCCATGGCACTGTAGCTAATCTCCCTGGATGTGGAGGAAAGAGTAAAAACTGATCAAAAATTGATCTAAGGATTGTTCGAATGGTGGATAAAGAACCTCGATCGATTTCCAGACAGATTCAAGCTCACCTTCAGGCACAGCGTACAACTGTGTCAGCTCGCACTGTACGTTGCCATCTCAATGAAAAGGGATGCTATGGTAGGAGACCCAGGAGGACCCCACTGCTGACACAGACAAGAATGTTTAAAAAGTCATGATTGGAGTATGACAAAACTTACCACAGGGAGCCAAAATCCTTTTGGGAAAAATGTGCTGTGGACAGATGGTGATTCAAACATGCTTGGACAAACTATGAGATCTTCACTCAGACAAAGACTAAGATGTTATATGTCTCAACAGTTGCTAGTTGCTAAGTAGTCCAAAACTGTTTAAATTAACTGCTTCCCATCCGCCCTATGGGAGAAATACAGCTACAAGTGGGCGGCACAGGTGCGCAAAATCACACATATATACGTGATTTGTGATCGAGGTGACGGGGGGGTGCGCATGCACCCGCTGACCCTCGCTGCCATGATGAATCGGGAGCCCAAGGGATCAATATCCGATTTAGGCCAGTGATGTTCGGCCTGAATTGGATGATTGATCCCTGGCCCTGTCAGACATCATCCTGTACCTGTGTTTACATTTACACAGGTACAGGAAATGATGAAATCTTCTCTATCTGGGAACATTACACACGTGAGTAAAAGCACTATACACACACAGTTAAAAAACACATTTAGGACACATTTAACCCCCTTCACTGCCCTGTCACCAGTGTCATTTTTTTACTGTATTAGTGTCACACCGCAGTGATAGCGTTAGCATCAGCATCAGTTAGCGTCCCTCCCAGATAGCGTCAGATTGCCTGTCACTACATCAGTCATCACATTTAACCCCTTGATTGCCAGGAACATGTTCACATACACAATAAACCTCCATTGCTAGTATAATGTCTGAATGGATCAATATCTTTGACCAGATCAGCACTATACCAGCGTTCACATTAGTATAGTGTCCCCAAAAATTCAACGTTAGCAGGATCAGCCCTGGCACCTGCCAGAATCTGCTTTTAGCCCCTATGCTTACCCCTCCCCCCTACCCAAGCAAGTGTAGTGTCAGTAGATCATGGTCACTTAATATATTGCACACAAAACCGCAGTGTTCGCAGAATCAGGCCTGATCTCTGTTAGCACTTGCAGATAAATTTGTTTTTAGCGGTTCAAGTAGTCCCAGACAGCCAGGTGCTCCTTTTCCTGTGAGTCGCACTAGGTACCTATACATTTAGTGGCCACAATGTCCAACGAAAGGTACTCTAGTGAAGAGGCCTACAGGATTCTGAGCATGTCAGATGAGAGGAAAGGGGAAGCCTCACTGACAGAATCTGCCTCAGAATCCGAACCTGTAGACAGCAGTGGCACCCTGACAGATAGCTCAGACAATGGAGAAGAGGTCCCTGCTAAAGTCAGGCATACCCGACCCCTTTCCCAGGTTGCCAGTACTAGTGCCGCTCTGCCTTTTGGTTTACTGGTGAGAACCAGTGGCCTAGTACATCCTGGTCTTTCACATACCAGCACTGCAGTATCACTAGGTGACGTGGTGAGTCCCATAAGTGCAGTACAAGCAGGTGCAGTGGTGAGCACAAGCAGTGTCCCACAGCCACCAAGAATTTGCACACTGCCCGTAAAGCCCATAATGTCCTTCCAGATGTGCTTGCAAATCCTGATTGCAACCCACAAATTCTGCAGCACTCGTACTTTCCTCATTCACTGCCCAACCCGAAAATGTAACTACTACCCCCTTGATTTTTTGGAGCTGTTTTTCACAGAAGATCTGTATGCATTGATTGTGGATCAAAGCAATTTATATGCACAACAGTTTATCACAGCCAACCCAAATTCAAACCTTGCCAGACCATTTCCATCAAAATCTATTACAGTTTCCGAATTTAAAGTTTTTTTTGGGCTAACCCTTAGCATGGGCATTACTAAAAAAAAAGTAATTGCGGTTGTATTGGTCCACAGATCCGATTCATCATAGGCCCATGTTCTCTGCTGCCATGGCCAGGCATAGATATGAGAATATAATGCATTTTATGCATTTCAACAACAATACACTCTTTATCCTTGGGGTGACCCTGAATTTGACCTGCTCCACAAAATTCGGCCCCTCATAAATCACCTTAACCAAAAATTTGCAGTTGACTATAATCCACAGCAAAACATGTTGATGAGTCCCTCATTAGTTTTTTTTGGCAGTCTTGCATTCAAACAATTTCTCTCCAGCAAGCGTGCCACATATGGGGTTAAGATGTATAAGACCCGTGAGAGGGCAACAGGCTTTAATATATAAGTTTCAGATTTACGAGGGAAAAAGATCGTCATGTGTAGCCCCCCCAGATGCCCAGACTACACAGGGAGCAGTGGCAAAATAGTTTGGGACTTGATGTCACCCTTTTTCCATATGGGGTACCACTTAAACATGGACAATTTTTATTCAAGTGTGCTACTATTTAGACATTTGTACAATCTTGGAATTGGCACATGCGTCACCGTATGATCTAATCACTGGGGCTTCCTACAATGGCTTGTAAATACCCATCTTAGAAAGCGGGAAAATGCCTGCTTGAGAAATTATGAATTGTTCACAATGAAGTGGAAGGACAAACGGGATGTTTTCATCCTGTCTTCCGTTCATGCAGACACGACCATCCAAATTGCCACGGCAGCTGATGTTGTTGAGAAGACCCTCTGTGTCCATGACATTAACCTTAACATGGGAGGGTGGACTTCAACAACTAGATGATGAAGGAAGCCATACTGTCAGGAATGGACTTGCCAGTAATGGTGGGATTCACCTGCCTTGTGGGCTGCAGTACCAGGGCTGGCCAGCGGGTGCTCTCAGCAATCAGAGACTCAACCCTGCAGTCAGCCAAAACACCTGAAGCTGATTACGGAGGTGTATTTAAGGGATGGCCAGATCTGCAGTCTGGGCCTTGGTGTGTGTTTTTCCTGGGCCCTGTATCCTGTTCCTGTTCCTGCCTGATTTGTTACTGACCCTGCCTGATCCTGACCTCTGCTGACTTCTGTTTGATCCCTGGCTTGTGACCCCGACCATTCTCTGCCTGACCCCCTGTACCTACCTGCCCGTTAGTTGCTGTACCCGGCTCGTGACCTGACTACTCTCTGCCTGATCCTTCTGTTCCTACCTGCCCGATTGTTATTGACCCGGCCGGCCTGACTACGCTTGCACTGTATGTATTGTTATCTGTGGGTGGTTTGGTTTGGTTCATGTGCACTGTGTTTATGTTTGTATTGTTAGTCTTTAATAAATTGTCTTATTTATACCTTATCTGAAGCTTGCGTTTCCCTGTGTCAGTCCACACACTTCTGGTCACACCCGCATGCCTGACATTACACCAAGGCCAATCCTGACCAGAAGTGGCTACACAGGGAAGCCATCTTGGCTTGTTGCTGGGAAGGATGGATCTTGATGAGGTTGTGTATTTGTCGCTGCTGGTTTTTGATGACAGAGAATATGCTTATCAGACTCTGAGGGAGTATACCCGGGATCAACTGCTAGAATGTATACGGATCGCTCATGTTCTAGTAGATCAGGGCGCAGAGTTCTCTGAGGTGCAACCTTTGATTCAGGTTTGTGTAGAGTTGGCTTCATCTGGTACCCCTGAAAGCAGGAATGACTTTTTGCCACCATTTAGTGCAGACCAGGTAGAGTCCCTGGTATGGTTATTAGAGGATGATGTGGATTGCTTCTTGGAGCATTATGCTGCATGTTCACCACAGGTATTAAGGGATTGTATAAACACAGTGCAGTCTTTGACCAGACAGGCTTTGTGTAAGCTGAGCTTTGTTCAACCCATACTGCAGACATGGTCAGACTTGTTGCACCCAGCCTCAGTCAGCTTACAACGTCATTTCTCCGCTCAAGGCACTCTTCCTGCATCCCCGACAGCACCCCCAGTGATGGCCCAGTATACTCTGCTAACTACCACATACCAGTCCCCTGCTCCAACTCGCTGCACCTATCCTTTCTTTAACCCTGTAAAGAAGTCCTCTGTAGCAACTGCTCCCTCCTCTGTTCCATCTTCCAGCTCTTCTCTGTCCTCAGCTGCTCCATTCGTTTGCAGACCTGCGTTTACTTGCAGTGCTCCAGTAGTTAAAACCAGAAAAAAGCGAAAATTCTTTCCAACCAGTACCATCCTGCCAGTATCCAAACCGGTGAGCCTGCCGTCTGAGAACCTGCCTTCCGTGGTTCAGCCTGGTGCCTCGGCACCCGCACTTCAGCCTGATGTCTCTACCCAGCCTCATGTCTGTACCCAGCCTGATGAACTGATCCAGCCCGATGATCCTATCACGCCTGATGACCCAGTGCCCGCTGTCATACCTGGTGACCCGATGCCCGCTGTCGAGCCAGACGATCCAATGCCTGATGACCCAGTGCCCGCTGTCATGCCTGGTGACCCGATGCCCGCTGTCGAGCCAGACGATCCAACGCCAGATGACCCGATGCCCGCTGTCGATCCAGACGATCTGGTACCTGATGACCCGGTGCCCGCTGTCATGCCTGGCGACCCGATGCCCGCTGTCGAGCCAGACGATCCAATGCCTGATGACCCAGTGCCCGCTGTCATGCCTGGTGACCCGATGCCCGCTGTCGAGCCAGACGATCCAACGCCAGAAGACCCGGTGCCCGCTGTCGTGCCAATTGACTCAGAGCCCACTGTCGTGCCTGGTGACTCGGTGCCCACTGCCTTGCCAGATTACGCGGTGCCTGCTGTCGAGCCAAATGACCTGATGCCTGGTGACCCGATGCCCGCTGTCGAGCCAGACAATCCAATGTCTGACCCAGTGCCCGCGGTCATGCCAGTTGACTCGGAGCCCACTGTCATGCCTGGTGACCCAGTGCCCGCTGTCATACCTGGTGACCCGATGCCCGCTGTCGAGCCAGACAATCCAATGCCTGATGACCCAGTGTCCGCTGTCATGCCTGGTGACCCGATGCCCGCTGTCGAGCCAGACGATCCAATGCCTGATGACCCAGTGCCCGCTGTCATGCCTGGTGACCCGATGCCTGCTGTCGAGCCAGACGATCCGGTACCTGATGACCCTGTGCCCGCTGTCGTGCCAATTGACTCAGAGCCCACTGTCGTGCCTGGTGACTCGGTGCCCACTGCCTTGCCAGATGACGCGGTGCCCGCTGTCAAGCCAAATGACCTGATGCCTGGTGACCCGATGCCCGCTGTCGAGCCAGATGATCCAATGTCTGACCCAGTGCCCGCGGTCATGCCAGTTGACTCGGAACCCACTGTCGTGCCTGGTGACTCGGTGCCCACTGCCCTTGCCGGATGACGCGGTGCCTGCTGGCGAGCCAAATGACCTGATGCCTGGGGGCCCGGCGCCCGCCGCTCCACCTGGGGTCCCGGCGCCCGTTGCTCCGCCTGGGGGCCCGATGCCCGCCGCTCCGCCTGGGGGCCCGATGCCTGTCGCTCCGCCTGAGGGACCGATGCCTGTCACTCTGCCTGGGGGCCCGATGCCTGTCGCTCCGCCTGGGGGCCTGGTGCCTGCTGCTCCGCCTGGGGGCCCGGTGCCTGCTGCTCCGCCTGGGGGCCCGGTGCCTTCTGCTCCGCCTGGGGGCCCGGTGCCTGCTGCTCCGCCTGGTGATCTGGTGCCCAGCCCAATGTGCCTCTGCCCGGTGTCCAGCCCGATGTGCCTCTGCCCGGAGTCCAGCCCGATGTGCCTCTGCCCGGAGTCCAGCCCGATGTGCATCTGCCCGGAGTCCAGCCCGATGTGCCGCTGCCCGGAGTCCAGCCCGATGTGCCGCTGCCCGGAGTCCAGCCCGATGTGCAGCTGCCCGGAATCCAGCCCGATGTGCCGCTGCCCGGAGTCCAGCCCGATGTGCCGCTGCCCGGAGTCCAGCCCGATGTGCCACTGCCCGGAGTCCAGCCCGATGTGCCGCTGCCCGAGTCCAGCCCGATGTGCCAGTCTTGATATCCCGGCAGTTACCAGACCCGGGCGGTGGAACATTTTACCCAGCTAGGACTGTTTGGAGCGTCCTGAGGCCGCTCCTTGAGGGGGGGGGGGTACTGTCAGGAATGGACTTGCCAGTAATGGTGGGACTCACCTGCCTTGTGGGCTGCAGTACCAGGGCTGGCCAGCGGGTACTCTCAGCAATCAGAGACTCAACCCTGCAGTCAGCCAAAACACCTGAAGCTGATTACGGAGGTGTATTTAAGGGATGGCCAGATCTGCAGTCTGGGCCTTGGTGTGTGTTTTTCCATGGGCCCTTGTATCCTGTTCCTGTTCCTGCCTGATTTGTTACTGACCCTGCCTGATCCAGACCTCTGCTGACTTCTCCTGTTTGATCCCTGGCTTGTGACCCCGACCATTCTCTGCCTGACCCCCTGTACCTACCTGCCCGTTAGTTGCTGTACCCGGCTCGTGACCTGACTACTCTCTGCCTGATCCTTCTGTTCCTACCTGCCCGATTGTTATTGACCCGTCCAGCCTGACTACGCTTGCACTGTATGTATTGTTATCTGTGGGTGGTTTGGTTCATGTGCACTGTGTTTATGTTTGTATTGTTAGTCTTTAATAAATTGTCTTATTTATACCTTATCTGAAGCTTGCGTTTCCCTGTGTCAGTCCACACACTTCTGGTCACACCCGCATACCTGACTCATACTTAGTTTCCTGAAAAGCGCGATGCTAGTACAAAAAAGTGTCTGTTTATTTCAGTTGGCTCTATATATCGCTTTTGTGCTTTACAAAGCAACTGGACGTAGTGGATCCTTCTGAAACTTCCAGGAAGAGATCATCACGGCCCTTTTGTATCCAGAAGGTGCTATGGCCCAAACCCCCAAACCCCAGTTAGCCCGGCTGCATGAGAGGCATTTTCCCGATGCCATTCCTGGTACCCCAACACAAAGGACACCCCAAAAAAGATGTAGTATCTGTAGTAGACATGGAATTAGGCATGAGACCTGCTTTTTTTGTCCCTCCTGTCCTGACCAACCTGGTCTCTGCCTCAAAGACTGCATCCATTGCTACTACACACTAGTGGAGTATTAGTATAGTATATAGATACAGCACGGCACAATTCAGGGCATATATTTGCACAGGGTCTTGAAAGATGTTAGTTAGTCAGGAAACTGGCTATCGCAATGTTTAAAATTTAAAAAAACAAAAAATAGCTGTTTGACTCTGTTGACTCTGTTCTATTTTGTCATATAATTAGAACAGAGTCAACAGAATTGCATGCCAATAAATTAACTAATATAATCCTAAAATGTTAAAATGTTATAATAATAATACCTTTTATTTCATTAACTTTTCATCCTTGCAATCACTTGTATAGGTGCCTTTCAGAACACCCAAGGTCACGATAGATAGATAGCGACAGAGCAATAAAAAAGTAAATGAATAAAATAAATATACATTACATAAACATTAATTACAAAACAAATCAATGAAGTCAGACACAGTATGCTAGTTTAAAGAGATGAGTTTTGAGATGTGATTTGAAGATAGGTAGGAAGTCAATGTTGTGGATGTCAGATGGCAGGGTGTTCCAAAGTTAGGTGACAGAGCGGCTACAGGTTCTTAGTTCCATAGTGGTCAGGTGGCTGGATGGAACATTGAGGTGGATGGAGGAAGAAGACCTGACAGTGCAGTTGATATGCAGGAGTACAGAAAAGTACAGAGGAGCAAGGTTGTGGGTGACCTTAAAGGTAATAAGGATTATAATAAGCGCCACAGAATGCAACATAAAACAAAAGTGCAGCTGGCAGTCCAATACCCCCTGGGCAAAAAGTCTTTGTGTGTAAACAACAATCAACTTCCTACTGTAATCCTCCTGTCTTCTCACCAGAATCACTTACACCCAAATGTGCTGTATGCCATGGAATATTTCTCTATCCTTTGATCTTCCAATAGAGGGATCCAAACCTCCAAATAAAAAAACTAATATAGTGTAGTATTTCTTATGCAAATGTGACATATATATATATATATATATATATATATATACATACATACATGCACACAGATATATATATATATATACACACACCTGTGCACCAATATAATATTATCCAAAAGGTGTCCACTACTTATCCTCTAAATACTCTTACCCTCTTAGGATGCAAAATGTGCATTTCACTCCTTTACTGTAAATAACATCCAAAAATACATGTGACCGTGCTCCATCCACCACTTGTGTACGAAACAAATTCAACAAGCTCAATCCCTTCCCCTTCAGGCATGCACCTTACCCTGCATATCTTGTAAATAGCCTTTCCAAAATACAATCAACGTGCTCAGTTTCCTCCTCGGTTCTTCATATGTCCTCAGTGATCATAAAAGATAAACATACACTCCCATAGTCCAGTAGTATTGAAAGATCAAATGTAATAATTAATATTGTGCTTACATGATTCAGAGGTATAAACAGCCTATCACAACTGATTCAAAGATGGCCACCGCGGTACTTCCATTTGCGTATGATGTCACATCCGCCTGATGCATTTCGTCATTGAATCGACTTCCTCATAGGCAATGGGTGACAGATGCCACTGGACTTTATTTATATAACACCCCGCCCTCTTCCTGCGGCCATATTCTCCATCATGCTTACGGGATTGACAATTCAAATACAATGCTAACATCCATTGCTAAAACCCCATGATAATTAACTTTACACCTCAAAACGGCACTTTATAGATTCAAACATAAAAAGAAGTTGATATATCCCAAGAATGAATCTATATACTAAAATTACCATCACCATAGACATGTGGAAAAAAGAGCGCTTGCCCCTAGTGTTATAAATACTAATAGGAATGCTAAACCAAGTTTTATCTAAAATTACAAACCCTCAATACTATATAAATAGGGGAATGAGTTAAGTTGCATATCAATGTCTGTGTCCTCTCTGCATGTTATTACACATAAATTATTTAAAACTATACAAATTACAACAAAAATAAAATAAAATATATTATAATTTAATAACAAATATATAAATAACTATATATATGAAATCCATATATATATTTTACTCATATGAATATGAGAGGGTAGATCTGACCGCTAAATACCACATTTAGTCTACCTCTCACTATCTCCATACCTAATCAAAGCCTAAAAATGGCGCCCTAAAAATTAAAAATGAAGCAATTTAGATCCAATTCTATGTTCAATATATTCGGGTACATACTGTCCAACTCATAGATCCAGAAGTTTCATTCTCAGAAATCTCCCTAACCCTATTATTACCTCTCCAGTGTGCCCCAACTTTATTGATAGCACAAAACTTTAACAATGTGGGATCACAATCATGTACATCTCTAAAGTGTTTTGATAGACTATGCTCCTTCTTCCCCTTCTTAATGTTGATGACATGTTCCCTTAATCTTTCTTGTAACTTTCTTGTAGTGTGCCCCACATATTGAAAACTTTATGGGCATTCGAGAAGATAGGTAACATAATTGGAGTGACATGAGATACATTTCTTAATGGAATGCATCTTATGTGTCACATTCAACCTGAAGGTTTCAATTTTTTTCTGTTTTTAGCATTGGTGATCTTACACATAGTACATTTCCCACAGGGAAAGAAACCTTTCAAATCAAACATGGTGCTCTTAATCAACCTTGGAGGGGAAACAACATTTCTAACAAACTTCAGCCGTAAATTGGAAGATTTCCTATATCATTCCTAATGATTGGCCAATATTTGCCAATAATCCCAAATAAATGCAAACTCGAACCCTTTGTCTTGCCTTTTATTCAATCATTTTCTTTGCTTCACCCCCTAGATAATTGTAACTTACTTCATACCTAGTTTTTTTAAAATTTATTGGGATCATAATCCTTATCTATAAATCTCTTCTTGATGATTTCTGATTGTGCAATGTAGTCCTCTAACTTGAGCAATTCCTCATGATTCTACTAAACTGCCCTCTCGGAATTCCCTTCAGGAACATAGGATGATGACAGCTACACTTAGGAATATATCCATTGCGGTCTGTGGTCTTAAATGGGTTTTGGTGTATAAAACTCCATCATAGTGAAAAATGTGTAAATCCAAACATTCGATTGAGACAGTATCAATATTTCTAGAAAACTCCAATCCATATTCATTGCTATCTGAGGGTAAAGAATTCCAAGAGTGACTCCATGCTCCCCTCCCATATAACCAGGATATCATCAATGAGCCTCATCTATAACTTCAATCCCTGCCATTTATGACTAAAAAATAACTTCTTGCTCCCATTTTGACATGAAGATATTCACCAAACTGGGGGCGAACTTGCTCCCATTGCAACTCCCTCCTGAACGAAAAAATTCTCCTCCACACCAAAAGTAATTTCTTTGCATGCCGAACTCCAATAATTGCAGAATAAATTTCCCTCTGTTTCCTATGTAGATCTGTAAATGTTCTCAAAGCCCATTTGACCGCATTCATACCATCTATGTGCCTAATACTCGTATAAAGATAACTTACATCAATGGTGGCTAGAATTAAATCATCACTCACTTTCATAT